AGCTATCTCTCCAACAGAAACAGTGTGTGAATAGGTGGCACTACAAGTCAAGTGTTAGATATTGAGATATTGCGGGGGGGCAAGACCATTTATCATGCTTTTGTAACGCACTAAGGTTTTGGGGCGTTGCGTTCCGTCTAATTCACCGACCTGCGAGAATCCTTAAAATTATACCGGCCGCTACCGGAAATAATCAAGGGGGCTTCTGGGATAGAGCACTTTTGTTCCCGACTTCAGCCAGGTAAGCAGCACATTTTCAGCTGTCTAAATCCAATGATTTAATTACTCTATGTCGCCCATCCTTCCAGAATCCGGGGTTGTAAACATTTACTGAACATTTATTGTTAGGTCCTCGGTAGTATTTTTGTACTATGGCGTTAGTTTAATAGGGAAATAGCGAGGTGAACTTAGAGATATTTTTGCGGGAGACATGCCGGTCGTCATACCGTTTGAAGGAGAGATGTTATGCATTCTCCGCCCTTTATGTTCTGGACATGCCGTGGTTGTGTCTATGAGCGGTAGGCTCCTCTAGCCCACATGAAGGCGTGTGGCGGAATGTAGAAGGGTTAACGGAAAAGCTATTGAGCGGAAGTGATAGCCGCATGTCCTCGTGCACGTGTTTGAGTTATCTCGAGGAGGGCTTTAGGATTAGTGATAAGGTAGCTTGCTCGAATATAGAGCGAGTACGAGTTATAGACAGGGTCATGTTGTACGGAATATTTCACTAAATTGTAGTTAAACTTGGAAACCCACCTGCCGCCACGTGTCTTGTTATACTGTTGTTTGAAGTTTGAATGTACAATAAACGTGCGACATCTATATCTGCCTAAGTTGTTTGTGTCACAGATCTCTGCTTCCTAAATACTATTTCATACTTTATTTACAATCCATGGAACCTGCAAACGAAAGCGGCAGTCGAACCCGAGTGTGTAGGTAACGTTTCGTTACACTGTTATATTATCAAGCTCTAATATGTATCCACTCATACGATATTTTTGCCAAGGAACTTGAATGGGAACGCTATCGAGCCCTTCAATTGGTTTATCAAGATTTCGATTCCTGCTACCAAGATCTTTTCGAGAAAATTAAAAGTAACACTTGTATATTACAATTAAGTGGACCCAGACAAGTAGCAAAATAAAATTGTAAAATTGTAAATGGACAAAAACTCTGTTTTCTACCGGATTATATTCATGTAAACTCTTCATCTTATAATTTCAGGTACAGTCAAATTTTAGAAGTCTCTAGAGTTAGAACAGTTGAGTATGGAACACATGGCTTTAGCTTTTAGCTGCCTCTACGTTGAACTCACCATCAGAGCATGTCAGATTATCCACATCTTTTAATGACTTTGGGAAAATAATGAATACATGGGATGGTGAAAGGTGCAGATGAGTTCCCTCCCTTTGCTGCCTTCGCTGTTTTTATCTATTCTGCTTCATAGCTTTTAGTTAGCCATTAGGCTGCCAAAATGTTATATGTATATATATATTACGTGCTGTTTGCATTGATTGCTTTTATTTGTGACAATTTATGTGCCTTTAATAATACATTACTTTATTTCTAATTATTTCAACTCAAATTTGGTTTGTTTGTATTTCATGCTGCCAGGCCAATCTGCTTTTTCATTTAAATTACATATGTATTATTTATGTGTGTATTTATAATGTAATTTGTTGAAGGCAATATGTGATAAGTGTGTTTTTTTTAAATTATTTCCTGTAATCTAAATTTACACCTAAACCATAGTCATCAAGGTCGGTCAACAGTGGAACCTGAGCGGGCCTCACTGGTAGGGCTCCCGATCCCCCACCCCCGGACCTCACTGGTAGGGCTCCCTC